AAATGTGGATTCCCAAAACTGCCTCACCTGAAATACAATGTATTGTACAGTCAATATTGACAGAAAAATAAGAAAATATAAAAATATATTTATTAAAATTATGCATTAGATAGATATATCAAATTGTAAGATTACATTCTTACCATGTTATTTTCATTGTTAACGTCATTTTGGTAAGGACTTATTTGTAGGAGGAATTCCCTGAGTCCTGGTATTTCTCCTCGCCGGATGGCGATACCCAACGTCCCAGCCAGGTATGGCATGAGCTGGGGTGTCTGGAGCACAGTAGCTGCTGTCCAAGCTTCACTTGCTATCCACTGCTGGCCTGTTGCATTCTGCCTAACCACCTGTGTAGCATTATGTAAAATATTTCAGACTTTTCCTAAATACAGCAAAATACATTTTACTTTGTAGAAAATCTGTTGAAAACAATTCCTCTGCCTGGCACTGACTTCCCTGCTTTGACCACATTAAACATTATGCTATGTATACTGTCTTTTTATACTGCTTAGAATTTTGTCTTGAAAGATGCCCCTGATGTCTTTATCTAATGTACAATCTTTAACCTTTTACCTTTAACAGATAATCAATTAGATCTACTTATCACAGGACAATTGCTACTGTAGCTTATTTTTTTTCATTTTGACAAGTAGAACATTAAGTAGTATAATTATATTAAGTTATAATTAAGTTGAAGCCTAACCTCTTCCATGAGGTTAATCATGTGAGTCTCATGTGCAAACACTATGACCACACGAGCTGTCGATTTTTTTATCGCATCCACAATCCTCCTCAGTTCACTTGGGTCATGGTCCCAGGGCAAAACCTGTAAGTAGGCCAGACAACCTCCCCCAGACTGAGCAAGGTCAGATTGAAAGGATCGGGCAACATTAAGTCCATAGTCATCATCCGTGACCAACAGGCCTGCCCAAGTCCAGCCAAAGCGTTTTAGAATCTGAATCATAGCACGCACCTAAGTGCATATATTGGTGTGAAGAGATTAGTGCACAGATGAGTACAGTATTCTTTTAAAGGGACATATATAAACATGTTAAATCATTGCAGCTTATATACATTACATTATTTACACATTTTTCACCATAGAATCACAGTTAATTAATCCCACAAAGAGAAAAGAGAAGTTTTGTGTAATCAGGAACAATTTCTACAAGCTTGCTGTGCTGCCTGAAACAGACATAGTTTGTAATTCTCAACTTGGCAATAGTGATTCACCTGGAAAGCATCACTTGGGATTGTTCTAAAGAAGGATGGAAATCGTTTGCGATCACTCAAGCAGGAGCATGTGGCAAAATAACTCACCTATAAGGAAACATGAGAGTCAGACCCATTCAAAATATTTTCATATTTCAACAATGTATCACTTTAAAAATGGCCTTCAAGAGGTCCAAAGATACAAAAGATAGATGGCAGGAAACTTACAATGGGCATTTTGTATAAACCTAGCACATTGGAGGTGGCGATAGTAAATGTAGAATGGGGATCACCCACAATCCCCAAGACTGGAGGGGTCCCTAAACAGTTCTCCTGAAGCAGAAACTGCTCCTCTCGACCACTTGCCAGTGATAATGCACCACTGAATCCAATAACAAGTGTAGCGCAGTTATCATAAAGACTGTATCCCAGAGCTCACATTAGGTTACAGATTTAGTTCTTGTTGGATTCTCATCAATAGCAAAGGACCATGGTCATGGCATGCGCCTCGAACCGTTAGGAGTGTCAAAGCTAACACACAAAATACAGTATCATTATTAACAACTGAAAAGTATTATGGTTCTATATATATTGCAATACTTTTTAAAGATGCATTTGAATTTTTTTTTAATATCAAATACACTGACATTTTCTTCCTTACCAATCAATACTCTGAGTAG